GACGAAGCCCCATGCGCTGGAATGATCAAGTGAACCAAAACCCGACTTAACGAGTGCGTGCGCCAAGCGTCAGTTCGTGAATTATGGCGAACATCTGTCAAGGCCTTAATTAACTAGGATTTCACGTGACTACGACTGCTCCGCCAAGAGCAACCGACTATGTAGTGGTGTTTACTCCACTCTGCAATATTTTCCATGGCGATTTGTTCAGTCAAAATTATTGAAGAAAGACAATTTTAATGACTGCAGAAAACTTAAGGCTAAAAGAAATATGCATTTTTTTATTTTTAAATTGAACTTTATTGCGTTTGCACAAAAGTGACGCTATCGACAATACACTGAGATACTCTGTGATTTATTAAGTACAGTTTCACAGCTAACAAATAAACACGTTTCAGCTTCAACAAGAATAATCACTATGATAATCGGTTATATCCGTGACAGCTTCAAATCAATTTCATCACAAAATATATATTACGATTTTATGTCTAATATATATAGTAATCATTTATAATCATCATCTGTAATACGATACTAATATTGACAACTATAATAATTTTATTTGAACAAACGACGAAAATACATCTTTAATTGATAGTTTTATGTTAGTTTTGTACCAATTTTTTACATTTGACTGACCTATATAATAAGTTTTCAATAATAAAATTTGTGTTCGTAAATGCATGAGAATTTAGAGGCAGTGAGGCGTGACAGATTTGTGACAAAATATTACACGGTCGGTATATTATAATAACACTCGGGCTACGAAAATAAAGCATACGTAGCATACAACACAAACAAATTGTGTCCTGTTAAAAGACGACATATAAAAGACAGCCACATATCGAGGGGTGAAAGGTTATAGGGAAATTTGGAAAAAATATCATAACAAAAACAAAACTTCTTCAGTTATTTGAATTGATTAAACTTAATAGAAGTTCAATGAAAAACAACGAATCGTTGATGCTAATACCAAATAAAACCGATCTTTGATTAGAAAGATAAATGTCGCGTACTAAGCGAATTGTCGCATAAACCAAATATCCTTTCACCCCGCGATATGTATATTAAGTATTTGCTAGCACACATCAGAACAATTTTTTGATTCGTTTATCTATTCGTAATGATTGACGTGAGCATTTTTTTTTAAATTACCTCAACTTTATTTTCATAATCATACTCAAATTACAAAAGAGAATACAGTGAACCAATAACTAACACAAGAGCGAGCGTACACAATCCACACCACACGATTATTCAAATACAAATCTTACACTCAATAGCGGCATCAAGTTTTAACAATCTTTGCCTATTCAAGGTGAGAAAAACATTGTTATAACAATAATGACGCAATTATAACGTTGGTACGGTCAACGAAACTATACAAATACATATTTTGAAATATGTTTAAATAGCCCCGTGGTGTTTTGGTTTACAAAATACTATCGAACGATGGTATTCGAACACATTAATGTAAACATTGCCAAAGCGCGCTTAACTATTATGGCAACAATTGAAAGTATTTATTGATACAATAAAACATTGAATTTCTTTTAGTCTCACGTATATTCGTAATTTGAATTTTAATAAAATAAAACAACATAAAATATTATTAGTTTAAATGTGTGATGTCTAATGATTGATTTGAAAATGCAATGGTATTTTTGTTTCGAATATTTTTAATTTTATATAACGTATACATATCGCCTTTTCACATTAAAAGTGTACAATTTTCAAAAATATTCGAAATTGAGTTAATATTCGGAAACATTTGGTATCACCAATATTTTTCTCATAAATACTGTCAAAAGAGTGTAGTTTAGTTTTAGTATTTTTTTGTGTTTTTAGGTTACCTGTTTTGACTACTATTAACAAAATTAATTCATAGTAAAAAAAAATGTTGCAAAGATGATTAATATTAAAAATATTACATGTTAAACCTTTAAAACTCTCTCCTGTAAAATTAGTAAGTTTTGAGATTATACAGTTTTAATGCGAGAAGACGATATAGGTATTGAGTTTATATTGTGTGCGCGTCACTGAGTCGGCACCGGCAACAACGTGATGCGGTCATAACAGCTTTTTTTTTTACATTAACAATAATTATTAATCTTTTATAGTCATTAAATGTAATTAAAATAATAACCGTTTCGTTTTATTAATTATTGCAAAATGGTTTTAACCGACAGAGCGTATTAATGATAACTATATAGTTTCGTCATTTCGAATGGCAAATGTCTTTTAGCCAACGTCGTCTTAAGAGTTAAATAAGACTTAAGACAATAACAACATTTTTTAAGCTTTGTCATTTTATATAATACATATCGACGCTTGAAAGGCAAACGTGACTAAGCGACAATAACTGATTCGTACATAAATGATAGGCAATAACCATATTCGATGCGCAAAAAATATATATTTCTAGCTCTATTAAAATCATTTCAATCCTACAGCTAGATTCGTTAAAATAGATTTTTTTTCAGGTATTTCAACTTTAAATTAGTCTACTGTAAAGTTCACGCATTGTCGCTTAGTCACGTTTGCCTTTCAAGCGTCGATATAATGTAAGGTATGATATTCGAAATCTTTAATATTCTTTTCCGAGTTAATTTTAATAATATTTTAGTTGTTCCTTGAGTTGCAATAAATAATAAAATACTTTGTAAAGATGATACAAGCGAACCTTGACGACGCATTTGATAAACAATATTACTACAATAAACAACATTTTTCTATTTCTGTTCATACAAATTCATATTGTTATTATACATTCTCCTATGTAGGTAGGTATATTGATGTATTCAAACTGCGGGGGCCCAAGTATGTTTCATTGAACTTTTAAAGCTGAATAACGCTGAGTCAAAATATATGATTTATATTAAATTATTTATATCCCTTTTTTATTTGAATGAAATTATTTCACTTGTTGGTTTCATTGTTTTAACAGAAAATAAAAAAAGTTTCTCCTTAGCATCAAATTGTTAAAAATATTATTTCAAAACAAATGTTAATATTGTCACAGTCGGTGACTATCAGGCACTCGTTCACATTACGAACTATGACTAAATTCTACAAACGCCTAATTCCATTACGCCAAACCTAAAATAAATTTATTTCACAATAAGTATTTAGTCGGAACTCAAATTCAATATAAGTCATAAACGACAACTCAAATATTTCAAGTCTAATTAAATAAGTATAAAAAAAAAAATTTGGAACAGAATCAATACATAGTATAAAACAAAGTCNCCGTATTCATGCATTTGTTTTGCTCGCCCGCCGCATCGCGCGATTCGCTCGGTACATTTCGCCGGTCGCTTCGCCGGTCGCCGGTGCGCGTGGCTTGTTAGGTACATTTCTATGCGCTTGTTTTAGTCGCTAGACGCTTCGCCGTTCGCACCGCGCGAATATTCGCATCGGCGAATGTCCCGTGGCCAGGCTGTTAAATAGTGGAGAAATTAATAATAAATTACAGTTTCCGAAGCGAAGCGAGGGCGGGTCGCTAGTATATATAAATAAATTCTATTATTTATATTTGAAACACATAAATTTCTATACGACATATAAACCGTCTGTACATTTTAGTGCAGTATGTATTGCAATTGTTACAAAGTTGTTAGGTCACGCCAATCGATCACGTAATGGTAAAAAAAGGTCCCAATTCTCAGCACCTGCTTGTTAAAGAATGGACTGAAACAATACCGCACTAAACGCGCTCGATCGCATTATATCGAAGTCTCGGGGGAATATTTGGATTTTAATCAAGTTTTTTTTTAAATCATTAACTTGTTTTACTCGGCATCATAATGTTTTCGAATTATTTTTCGAAATTATATCATAACATTGTCGATCAAACATTGTTGTTGATAACTATATTTAAAAAACATTGAATTTTGCATTATTTTTAGAAAATGAAAATTAGAATCGCACTTTCTTTTTAATTGCTGAGATGTGTGGACGAGCTCACAGCCCACTTGGTGTGGGGACGTAGGACGTAAGCGCGTCTTCACATGTAAAATTTAACACTGCGATCAAAATTAAAACAATTCCACTCATAGCTTAAATAGCCTAATTAAATAAATAAATAGCTTAATCATTCGGTTTTTTTTTACTAAAGTTCAAAATTAAATATAATCTTTATAATTAATACGTTTTGTTATATATTTGGAAATTTAAATTATGTATTTTAGTTACTTGATAATCTAGTAGTGAATTACATTATTATATTAAAAAATAAATATTTGAGTTGTCGTAGAACGATATTGATAAATATTACGTAAAAATTCGAGGCCTCTTCAATATTTTTAAATCAAGTACACTTCCGTTGAGATTCATATTACATAAGCATTAAGCACTAGGAAGTAAATAAAAAAAAAAACACGATACAACTAATGAACCAATAAAATGCAGTCAACGATTCTATAAAGACTTATAAATATTTAATAATACACTAGATATAACAAAGAAACGTAGTTTATATGTTTTATAGAAAGCTATTTAGTTAGCTTTTAGTTCTTAAGATATGTAAATCATTGATAAAATTCGGTGTAGATACGGTTTTGCCAAATTTTAAGCGCCGTGTAGTATGTTAGCACAAAGATAATTATTATAACATTAATCTTAAAATAGAACGCGTGGGAACAAAATGCAAGTTACACAATATCGGTGATCATTCCTTAAAATAATTAGCAATTAATTCTGCTTTGGAAAACCAAACTCTATGCTACAACTTTCATGATGTTATTGTTCTAGACTGAAAAGAAAACTAAAGAAACAGTCGATGGGACTCTCAATTTGCTTATTTTAAAATGAAATTATAGAACGTCAAACAATAAAAATACAATCAAATAGACAACCGGACATCAGTTATAAGGGAGTTTGATTAAATTAATAAGATTATAATTCAATCACTATTATTCAGGTATGTATTTATATTTTATATCAACTCTGACTATAATTCTAACAAATTTTCATAGTAATTAATTAGCCAATAACTATGGGTAGCTTGTTGGCCTAAAGGTATAGGATAACAGGCCAGAAACTCCAAAAAAAAAAAGAGTAGCTTGTCAATTAGTTTTGACCCAAATTACGTCACGCGCATTGTAGCTTGAAATTTTGAAAATAGAAGTTGTCCATCTGCCTTTTAAGCATAATGCAATTCCGTGCTAATTTGTTGCTTTTTTTCATACTTATTTGTTTATTTAATCTAACAAAATGGAAGCTTTCCCTTTGTGATATGGTGTTTTAGTTATACGATTGAGCAAATTGACATGGATAAAGGTAGTTATTATTAACTAATATGAATTAGATACATACTGATTTGTAAAGCAAATGGATGGATTATGTATGTTTCTATAGTTACTTTGATATTGAATCTATTTGTATGAGATGACGTAGTTTTTATACTTATATATAAATAAACGTTTTTTTTTTGTTAACCATTTCTTAATTTGATAATTAAATATTGTCGTTTTTCTATAATAAACGTGATGTTAGGACTTTTAGACAGTAAATGCTTTGTCCGTAAGACTAGCTTAGAGGAAATACGCCTCTTAAAAATTATCGATCGATCATTCAGAATGTTATGCTAGCGATCGATACTCATTTATTATATCGATTAAATTTATGGGATCACATCGAAATATTAGATGCATCGAATTCTCAGTCTTAACTCCGAGATTTAAGAACCGAAATGCTTTTAATCGTCGATTTTACCTTAAAGTATTAAAAGCTCAAGTAAGCTACATAAACACTATTATGGCTTGTGGGAATTTTGAGAAAGAACGAGCCAAGTTAAAATAACGAAAAAAAAATCAGTCGCGTTTTCAAACTACTACTATCGACAGTTAACTAAAAAATACACAATAGCAAGAAATAAATACTGTAAGTACTAAAATTAATCGTGTACTATGCGATCAAAACAAAGATAAGCCAATGACCTCTGAGGGACGAGCACGAATGACTATCGATAAAGTATCGCTATCGATAAAATCGAATATAGGGTTTAAACAGCGCCCCTACCGTCCGTAAGTAGAACTAATTTCAGCAGAACGAATGAATTTAATTACTTTCGTTTCGCAATCGAGTTGTCACGTTCTCGAAACTCGAAACTTATAATCGAGAGCACGAAAATTGTTTTGACATAGGGTAACGTGAATCTCGAAGGCTGACTATCGATACATATATTACGAATTCGATAGATTTTCGTGCTTGTAAAATTAATGTTACTTCACATAGGCAAGTTCCTAGATGAACTGCTGCTTAGTTGAAACACGTGAAAGAAACTATTAAATCTGTGATCGAGTTAAATAATTATACCAAAGTTAGATTTTTTTTGTAGTTTGATAACCGGTCAATGCCATTCTTAGCTTGATCGCGTAGTATAGCGTAAGTTAGCGACCTGTAGTTAGTGCAGGTCGACTAAGGACTTTGGTGCAAGTGCTAAGTTCTGCGCCTTTCATTTGGCGCATATACATATGGCCGACATTACTATCGTTTCTCGATGCGTTTATGGACTAGCATGAAATTCGTTCGATGGTCATCTTACCAGCGTGACCCGGCTCATTCGAGATGTGGTCATCTGAAACAATAACCAATTAATTTTTATTTGCCTCAAATTAATGGGAATTAGTAATGACAAGTTTAAAAGCATATTACATTGTATAACATGTTTGAAAAAATATAAATATAAGTATATATAGTTAACATGTAGCTTGTTGACTATTTTTAAATGTTAATTGTGTTTTGGTGTGCAGTAAAATTTAATTATGTTTTTATACAATTTACTGTTACCAATTAATTAAAATTTAACAAACCACCAGCACATTACGTGACGATTGGAATAAGTTATAGTAATGAGTATCTACTGTCTGAAACCAGACTCGATATTATGTACCATATTTTATCCATGAGCTTTGAAATAATAGGAGACTGAATGATGCAAGGAATAGCAAGGTGTTTATGTCTATGTCTTTTGTGAACCAATCATACGTTCCAGTTGAAAGGTAGGACAAATCGTTATTCGGACCATAACTTCATCTCTCAAGGTAGGCACAGAAATTTACTTGTGGTCTGTACCGTCTCTGATAGGTGTTAGGTGTGACTAGGGATAAGACGTCCGGTGCATTCGTTGAGCGATGTACCGGTGTTGGAATCCCAGGCGGATACTAATTTTTCTAATGAAATACGTACTCAACAAATGTTCACGATTGACTTCCACGGTGAAGGAATAACATCGTGTAATAAAAATCAAACCCACAAAATTATAATTTACGTAATTACTGGCGGTAGGACCTCATGTGAGTGAGTGTGAGTGAGATGATTTCAAATAATTATAGTCGTATTACGACTATTGCGGGCGACTACTAGTTAGTATAGATAACAAGCTAATTAGTCACCTTTCACCAGTAAGTGTGCAGTCTTAAGCAGTCTCCCGCCAGGTCGGCTAGCAGCACCTTCTTGTTGGGCAGCAGCGCGATGCCGGCGACCCTCCGCGGCTTCTTGTCGAGGAGCTCGCAGGCCGCCAGCGTCTTCCCGCCGCCCCCCGCCTCCAGCACCACGAGGGCGGCCCGCCCGCGCACCGAGCGAGCGCACACGATGTGCTTGCCGCTGCCGGTCTCGTCTATAGCCACCCCACCGTACACCCCGCGACCTGTAAACGAATAGAGATGTCCGCCTTTTTATTATCCAAAAATTTAAAAAAACAAATTGTGTTGCTTAAATGTGTGGACGAGCTAACAACTCACCTGCTGTTAGGTGGTTACTGGAGCCTATAGACATGCAACGTAAATGCCACCACCTTGAGATATTCTAAGGTCTGTTTTTTTTTCTACCTAAACTGATAGCCTTGAGAGGCTATTTCAGCGTAACCTTAACTAGTAGGTGAGCTCACGGCTCAAACCGGAGTGACGTCTCAGTATAGTTAGAGCGGCTGCCCCACCCTTCAAACCGAAACGCATTACTGCTTCACGGCAGAAATAGGCAGGGTGGTGGTACCTACCCGTGCGGATTCACAAGAGGTCCTACCACCAGTAATTACGCAAATTATAAGTTTGAGAGCTTGATTTTTATTACACGATGTTTTATTCCTTCACCGTGGAAGTCAATCGTGAACAATTGTTAAGTACGTATTTCATTTAAAAAATTGGTACCCGCCTGCGGGATTCGAACAACGGTGCATCGATACAAACAAATGCACCGGACGTCTTATCCTTTAGGCCACGACGACTACATAATTCGACACACCCGGACTGGCGACGTGAAGAATCGCAGTTTAAGCAAAATATATTAATATCGTTATAACCGACATCTACAACTTTGTCTAATTTAAATTTTGAGTACAGTCGTGTTTATTATAAACGAATTTGATTTACCTTTGGGGACCGGGGCCAATGTGTTTTTGAGATTTCCTTCGGAATCGTAGATCCGCACCGCCACGTCAGCTATGATGATGAGGTCTTCGGATAAAGCTAGACCACCCACTAAGCCGAGATCACCGTTGCCTATCTGCAAATATGAAACCGTCAAACATAAAAAAAAACATAGATTTTCGATAAACAATATAGTGTATTAATGTTGATAAAATCATAGATCGAACAGATTATCTAAACAAAACCGATACAATGGAAGTGTGTCAACAAACTTCTATCGTACCATCTTTCAGATCGTATCTGTCTCTTTAATTTATCATTGATTTGATTTACTAAATAACTGATATTTTTTTAGTTGTAAATAAACTCAATTATGACATAGATATTGAAAAAGATTCATTCGTATGATTACTTTATCCGATCCCTAAAACGTGTTCACGATAAACTTACATGATGAAGGAATAACATAAATATTAACCAGTAAGTTTATAAAAAACACTAGTAAATCAGGTCATGATTCGCTTTGCTCTGACTACGGCTAATTAAATGACGTTTCACACAATTAAAAATCATACATCGATTTCTTGAAACGTTCATGCCTTTTTTTGTGAAGGAAGGATTACTGTTGGTCCGAAGGCCTTTCCAGTTTCACCAGGATAGGTGGGCGAGCAAAGGCTCAGCCAGGAGGGGTGGGATTTGATAACAACTACCCGAGCACCTCCAAAGGAGATCTAACAGCTTACGGACAGTTGCTTCGCGAATGCATCTACTACCGGATCGAAATTGCGACCCGCTAAGATATGGCGAAAAACACAGCGACATCTATTAGATACCCAAACCGACCAACCAAACTTACACCGCCATCTATTAGAAACTTACAAACACACACAAACAAAACTAGATCCTTGCCATATTTTACATGAAAAAATATATTTATACCAATATCAATATTGTATTTGTGATTTTGACATATCGTCTTTTCGCATTAAAAGTGTACAATTTTCAAACATATTCGAAATTGAGTTAATATTCGGAGTCATTTGATATCACCAGTATTTTTTTCATAAATACTGTCAAAAGAGCGTAGTTTGGTTTTAGATTTTTTTTTAGTTTACCTATACTTCGACTACTATTAATACATAATTTTATCTTACTTTAAAAGTTAGATAATGTTACTGGTAAAAACAAAAAAAATAAAAAATAAAAAAATGTTGCAAAGATAATTAACCTTAAAAATATCATAATAATATGTTAAGCCTTTAAAACACTCCTGTAAAATTTAGTAAGTTTTGAGATTGTACAGTTTTAATGCGAGAAGACGATATACAACACATTTTATACAAGTTCCGTCCTTGTCGTTCGCACGCAAGAAAATCCGTTCCAAAGCATGTATTTGTGGTGAAGTTTTTTTTTTTAACCATTCGCTGGTAGCTTGAGATGATATATATAGAGACCCGGACGGGGTTGAAGCTATCAACAGACGTACTTCTCTTTCGATGTTTCCGTAGCGATCGAAGACGAAGACAGTTCTGGCGCCATTGTCGGCGACGGCCAGACGTCGCGTCGCCACGTCGGCCGCCACGCACACCGGCTCCACCAGACGATCCGAACGAATCGTTCTTAGCGTCGTACCTTCCGTGTTCACCTGAAATTTAATTACTATTGTACGTCTGATTTTTATTAAGCAATGTGTTCGCAAGCTATTCAGAATGACTTATAATAGTTTAGAGATAATTAAGAAAACGACCGTTATTGGGACATTGAGAGTTATTATTATATTATAACCGAGTCCAGGTAACCCCCGACCGGGAACCAGCGCTATACTATAAAAATGAGCCCTCGCTGGGAAGGAGGCGCAAAAAAAAAACATGGAGGAGAGCAGCGACCGCCCCCAAGAAATAACAGAAGAAGAAGAAAGGGTGAAGAATGAAGAGAAGAGAGAAGAAGGAAGAGACCGTCCCACCCATCAAGACTTTAGGCCTGCCATATCCCAAACCTGCAGCTCATCACCCCTGCCTCGACAGGCAGGGAGTAACATGACCGGGCAGAGGGGTTTCCCCGACGCCCGCTGCGCACCCCCGCAAACGGACGCGACGACCCCAGGACGCCTCCGTCCCTTTTTTGCGCGTGGCGTTCGTGCATGGCGGTTCTTGTTGACACATATTGAGACTTTTTTATAACGCTCTCGTAGGCAGACGAGCAAACGGTCCACCTGATGGTGAGTAGTTGCCGTCGCCCATAGACTTCAGCAATGCCAAGGGCAGGGCCAAGCCGCTGTCTATCGCTTTAGACTCTCCACAAGTCTCGTTTGAAGGACATGTCATAGCGCTCGGGAAACACCGTGGAGGGAGCTCATTCGATAGCCGGATAGTACGTGGCAAAAAAGACCTCTGGAAACGCACTGTGGATGATCGCAGTAGCTCCAGGTGGCATGGATGAACTCTACTCCGGTGGCGGGCGGTTGTGTAATTTTAACAGTATTCGTTAATAGTAAATTAAAATCATTTTGTTAGAAGTTTTGAGTAATTTACTAAAATACATAGTGTTCCAGTTCTGTGTAATTCCTTTCCTTTTTTTACTTCCCCACTTCTGGTCGATAATAATATATATCCGATGCGATTGCAGCTGATATTACACTTTTCTTACAGATTTAAAAAAAAATAAAAAAAAAATATTAAAAAAATCCATTGCCAAATAAAATATACAGGTCTGTATTCTACAGGTTAAAAAAGTTTGAGAGCCAGTGAACTAATTTTTTTTTAATCCTACCTAAGCTGAGAGCCTTGAGAGGCTATTTCAGCGTAACCTTAACTAGTAGGTGAGCTCACGAGGCTCAAACCGAAGTGATGCTAACACTGACCCTAGCAAGTGCAGAGCTTCGCAGAATCTACCACCGGATCGGAAACGAGAAACTCAGTGGGCAAGTAATCGTCAACTAATTACAGCATATTTTTGAAAGCAGATTCTTCTGTTACAGCTAAATTAGTTTAATATTTCAGATATAAATATAAATTTTGTTCACCTCCGTGATAGTGCGAGTCCTCCAATTGACGGCGGCCACGCCCTCCGCGGTCACAGCAATGCCGGTACAACTGCGGCCCGCTAGTCCTGACAATAGTTTCAAAATTTATATGAGGTTGTGAAGTTGTATGGGAGTTAGGTAATCGCAAGTTGTAGAGACACTTAAAGAAACTTTTCAGTTTAATCATGGTTTTGGTGAATGGTTACCGTCGCCCATAGACTTCATCAATGCTAGAGGCAGAGCCAAGCCGCTGCCTACCGCTTAATATTCCTACTAATACTATTTTCCTGTTGTTATCTTATTATTTTCGGCGTTTCAGATACTTTACAGCTTGTTAGGTTATATCAGCTTAATGAGTAACAGTGAGATCTTAGATATAGTTAAAGTTCATCTCACAAATTCTATTGTTTACGAATGTATCCTGAATATTACTTAGTTACAAGATCATCATTAACTTTAAACTAATCTGATTTGTGGAATTTTTGAATAGTTAAATTTTTCAAAGAGAATGATTATTATTTTAGAATTATCATTCTAATTGCCCATACACCGTACTAAGGCGTGTAAGCATGTCGTAAGAACTGGGGAATACCATGAAAAAGCGAAGAAATTGATTTTTTGGTTTTTTTTTTATTACCCCTGTAGGCGACGAGGATACGGCCACCTGATGGTGAGTGGTTACGGTGGCCCATGGGCTTTAGTAATGGTAGGGGCAGAGCTAGGCCGCTGTTTAGCGTTAAACGTTGCTTTAACTGATCGTTAGGGGACGAGGTCGAAGGAATGAGAGGAAAGAGTGGAGCCGCAAAATTCGTGGCTAAGAAACATTAGGGATTGGACGAAGATCACCAATGTAGAGCTGCAGTTTCACTTGGCAACAGATTGAGACAAGTTCGCACTATTAACCGGCCAAGTAAACACAGTTTTTTGTTTTGCTTATAATAATTGACAGCTTTCAAATTAATTTTCTATTGTTGTGGATTTTTTGGCGGGAACGCGAGGAGTGAAGTTGTGTGATTTGTTTTGTCTATTTAGTTTGTGTATTTGTTTCTTCAGGTTTAAATGTGTAATAACGTTGGCTTAGTTTTTCGCTTTGTTTAGTATCTCATAAAGTGCACAAATATGGTAAAATGAAACAAAGCCGCTGGATGTAACTTCTCGGGATCCACCAAAAAGTCCACTGAAAAAGTCTCAGTAAATGACCACCGTTTTACTGAGATTATATTTCATCCTATATAATCTCATTTCATGCCATGTTTCATATTAATCGACTTCATTTCATTTCACTTCATATTATCATTTTTCATAATAAAAATTACAAAAGATTAGGCTGTATGGTGTCGTATCTTTGCCTTTCCAGTTGGAAAAATAGAACTACTATTCTGTTATTGCCACTACTGATGTTTAGGTTCGTTTGAAATTAATAAAAAAAACGCTCACCTTCATTCACGATATGCGTTTTGAAAGCGAACGTCTCGTCGTCCAACACTTTCACTCTTGAGTTACCCGCATCCAGAACATAAATTTCTTTACGCTTCGGACATCTAAGGAAACATGTAATTAACATATTACTATTATTATTTTAAATTTTGTTTGACTATCATTTATATCTCCGTTTATAAGCTTGTTAGTGGAATGGATCATTGTGAAAATCCTCGTATGGAAAAACTTACAATGGGTTATTTTTGTATTTACTTGATGCATTTCAAAATACTAAGTCAAGTATGGACGATACTGCATGGTTAATATCGGTCGATATCGTGTCATATTTACTAGACTAGGTTTAGAAGTAAGATTAGTCTTACTTTAATTTTTTTTTTTATAATCTATGAAAAATTCATAGATTGAAGCAGTGGAAGTGTTGATGAGTTCACGGCCCCCCTGATGATAAGTGTTTACCTGAGCCCGCATGAGACATGAGTTCTAAGGTCTCAGTTTTTACAGTACAACAACTCCTCCACTCTTCAAGCCGAAACGCATTACTGCATCACGCCAGAATTAGGCAGGGTGGTGGTACCTACCCGTGCAGAGACATCCTACCAAGTACTACCGAAAATTATAAGTTTTGCAGGTTGGACTTTTATTACATGACGTTATTCCTTCACCATGGAAGTCAATCGTGAAGTACGTATTTCCCGTACAGTTGCATAGCTTGATACGAATGCACCGGGCCTCATTTCCTTTAGGCCACGACGACTTATTATTAAGATAGATTTATCGCGTTTTCTGAGCTCAAGCGGATAGGTACCATTGCCCTACTCATTTCTGTCGCGAAGCATTCCGGTTTTTGAAATGTGACAAATGTTTTACAATCATTCCCGATCCTGCGGACGGAATGGAAAGCAGTCGACGTTACCCAAAACACGTCATTTCGGATCCTCCCGATTCACTAACGGTGCTTTTAGGTACCACAAGCACCGGTCATCGTTCTCGTCGAACCCGTCGCTTGCGACGAAGGGCTCGACGAGTAAATTAACCCATAGACACAGCCTACTGAGTTTCTCGCCGGATCTTCTCAGTGGTTCGCGTTTCCGATCCGGTGATAGATTCTGCGAAGCACGGCTCTTGCTAGGGTTCGTGTTAGCAACATCGTCAGGTTTGAGCCCCGTGAGCTCACCTACTAGTTGAGGTTACGCTGAAATAGCCTCTCAAGGCTATCAGCTTAGGTAGGATTAAAAAAAAATGTAGGTCACTGGCTCTTAAACTTTTGTAGCCTGTAGAATATAGACCTGTATACTTTATTTGGCAATGGGTTTTTTGAATGAGCTTAAGAGAGCTTAGGTAATATAAATGGGATGTCTATAGAATCCGGTAGACATTTAGCTTGGAAGTAAAATAATCAGGCTAGGATACTATTACTACTGTGAAGAAGTTGTAGAAGAAAAACCGATCGGACCCTCTGGCGGTACCTGGCTAGCGCGACGGGCTGGCTAAGCTGGTCCTTCCCGTTCCCCCGCGCGCCCCACACCCGCAGCGGCGCGGCTTGTGACGTCACCGCGGCACGCAGCGGCGAGTCGCGCACGGCGCGGGAGAACACCAGCACGCGCACCGACACCGAGCCCGCACTCCACGGACGCATCGAGATCCTACGCCACCAAACCGATAACTGACGCGGATAGCGTTAATTCATTTAAGCAAAACAGTGCTCAAAGCTGTTTTTTAGCCTATAGACATCTACAACGTAAACGCAACCACCCACATTGAGATATGAGTTCTCAGTATAGTTACAACGGCTGCCCCACCCTTCAAACCGAAAAGCGTTACTGCTTCACGGCAGAAATAGGCGGGGTGGTGGTACCGACCCGTGCGGACTCACAAGTGGTCCTATCACCAGTAATGATCTCTTTTCAAAATGTAAAAATGTCAAAATATGTTAAATTAACTTTCGGACCGATACAAATCTTAATTGAAGCGTTTTTATGAACTTCAACTATGGCTCACAAAGCAACTTGAGTCGCTCAGAAAAATCTCGTAATTTAGACTCTATATCACAAGTTTGTATTTATACACTTGAAATAATAAGATGTGATCGAAAGGCACATTTCGAAGACGTATTTGCCCAAGGGATTAAAAAACCATTTGAAGGGGTCCGTCCCCGCTTCGGACACCTTCCGGTCCCCAACAAACCTATAGAGTCCGGAGTCCAGATCGGTGACGGTGCAAGGCAGAGGAGCGTCATCGAGCGTCGCAGCCGCCGTCACGGGGTCCCCGCCGGTGCTACGAGCCTCACCGTGATAGTCCACGGTGCGGAGAACCACCACCACTTCCAAACCAGACACGCATGATGATTCTGAAATTCATAATCTGTGTGCTTAGTGAGAGTTTTTTAAAGTTCTCGATAACGTAAAAGTTAACTACCACTACCACTTCAGACTCGCAATTCTCCTTCTTATGCATCGTTCCCTCACTGCAGAGGATCGCGAGTACATGTGACTTTCCTCCACAATTTTCGAGCATAGGTAACATAGACCGCATGGTATAGACTACCAACAACCGCTTCCTATACCAGCAATTCTCCTAATTCTACAATTACTGTCAGTGCAACGTTTTTTTATTTATTTATCTTTTATTGCTTAAATGGGTGGACGAGTTCACAGCCCACCTGGTGTTAAGTGGTTACTGGAGCCCATAGACCTCTACAACGTAAATGCGCCACCCACCTTGAGATATAAGTTCTAAGGTCTCAGTATTGTTACAACGGCTGCGCCACCCTTCCAGCCGAAACGCATTACTGCTTCACGGCAGAAATGGGCAAGGTGGTGGTGCCTACCCGCGCGGACTCACAAGAGGTCCTACCACCAGTAAAAATACCGTATCATTACTCACCGAGTTGTAACGAACACAGCCCTGGGAAAGTAGTACTGGTCCTAACACGACCAAGCACTTCGAGAGAATCCACGAAGCGTTGTTGAGCGTCGTTGTGCGCGAAGTCGACGGCTAAGAACGCGTTCTCTCTGGGCTCGGCCAATGCAGCCGCGTCACCCAATCTGGCGCCCAAAGCAGCCGCTCTGCTGCTAACTTCACGCACTTCTACCTGTTGCTGTAACCCGGAACACTCAGCTTCCACCTGAAATGGCGTTTTTTTTTTACTAATTTAATATTCTTTTTTTTTCTCCTACCTAAGCTTGCCTTGAGAGGCTATTTTAGCGTAACCTTAACTAGTAGGTGAGCTCACGGGGCTCAAACCTGACGACGTTGCTAACACGAACCCTAGCATGAGCCGTGCTTCGCAGAATCTACCATCAGATCGGAAATGCGACCCACTGAGAAGATCCAGCGAGAAACTCAGTGGGCTGTGTCTGAGAGTTAATTTACTCATCAAGCCCTTCGTCGCAAGCGACGGGTTCGACGAGAACGATGACCGATTTTTATATTCTTTACTGGCGCGTGGCGTATTACAATCCGCACGACTATATTATGCACATCAATTGGTATGGTAGGCCAACTGTGATATATAATTTAGACGCGATACTAACGTCTCAAAGGAAGAGGCGGTATAAACGTTGTGATGTCTATATGGGCTCCGGTGACCGCTCAACACCAGGATTCTTTACTGGCGCGTGGCGTATTACAATCCGCACGACTATATTATGCACATCAATTGGTATGGTAGGCCAACTGTGATATATAATTTAGACGCGATACTAACGTCTCAAAGGAAGAGGCGGTATAAACGTTGTGATGTCTATATGGGCTCCGGTGACCGCTCAACACCAGGATTCTTTACTGGCGCGTGGCGTATTACAAGTCCCACGAGTATATTATGCATATCAATTGGTATGATTGGATAACTGTGACATATGATTTAAACGCGGTGCTAACGTGTCAAACGTTGTAATGTCTATATATTGGCTCCGGTGATCACTAAACACCAGGTGTGCCGAAAGTTCGCTCACTTTAGACAGGAGGACTGGCTTAGACAGGAAATCAATAATAATATAAAACTATAATCATATACCTAATTCAATATGGACAGTGGCATACGGGCTGTGATCAATGGACTACGACGTACGCTTAATATTGTTGGGACGTGATTTTGTTTGCCTTTTGTATGTCTTAATATATTATAATGAAATACTGAAGTTGTGTATAATACTGATGGTAAGATAATAAACAATTACCATTAACGTGATCAACGATGAATATGGAAAATGGCTACTAAGCCTATAGAGTTTTGGTTCCTTTCATTTTTGTCCTCTCATTTGATTTTGTTCGTGACAAAATAAAATTTTTAAACAAAACTATATTTGAATACAGACAGTCGAATTTGCATTATTAGAATCCTTTCACTTTCACGATGCAAAACTAGTTTCTATCATAAAAAAAAAACAAGACAGTTTGACAATAACATATTACTTACTTTAGATTTCTCTGCATCAATCAGCTTCAATTGTTCTTCGAGTAACTTTCGTTTGTGACTGGCAGCCGCTGCGGCGGCAGACTTTAATTCATTATGCCTCTTCTCTAGTGCCGCTCTCAGTTCCGCAAAGTGTCTATCAATAGCTTCGTCTGCCGCAGTTGCAGCCGCTTCCAATCTCCTCAATTCCCCTGCTACCGCTTCCCTAGCCGAACCTAATTTGCTTAGGCACTCGTTGGCTCTGTATAGCAATATTTCCGACATCCTTTTCAAAGCTATCGAAAACGGTACAACTGTGTGGTCACACGGCGTGTCGCTGTGCGGTCCATCGGCACAGTAACGACAAAAAACGCAATCGCATGTCTCGCAGAAAAGTAGCTCCCTGCCTGGGTGCGAGCTACACTGCGGTATAACCTCTCGGCGTTGCCGTGCCATAAGATCGAGCAGCTGATTGACGAGAAACGAAGGCGGGAGAGCCGGTACCCCTCCTCGAGGTATTGTGATCAGTTCGCGACAAATCGGACATCGAAAGCTGCCGGCGTCCCGTGTCTGTGAAGCCGCGATGCGCGTTAGGCAATGAAGACAAACCGTGTGTGAGCACGGCAGAAGCTTCGGGGTGTGTTCGCCTCCATCATAAGTGCCTTAAAGTGAAATTTAAGTTACGTTTTAAAGACAGACAGACATTTACGACGATTATACCACGGTGTTATATTGAGTGCATGTGTATAAAAATGATGTGTACTAACATAAACATGTGCCGCATGTGAGGAAACTTTCATTAAAGTCCTCGTAGTTGATGGAGACGGTTTCGACGAGCGTGGAACTCATGCTCGCCATCCCGACACCCAGCCGTGAGCTGTCGTATCATACAAGTAATATTCATAAAACAAATTTATAAACAAAAACACTACAAATAAACGAGAACTTACAGCAAAATCAATAAATATTTGATTACACTGGTACACAAAATCAATACACAAACTATTTATTATTAATAGAAAATAATGTACAATGTTTTTGACTATTAATTTTCAGTGTTTATATCTACCACATAGCTATTAAGCTGGCTATGTATACAGATGAGGAAAAACCAATACAAACTAATAAATGATGACCTATTAAGGAAGGAATGAAAAAACAAAAGTCAGGCATCATAATCTGTGCAGTTATTGTTGCAATAGAAGTTTTATTGTTATTAGTTAAATAATTATGTGTACACAGTTCAGATGGTTTTTTGCTGGTATGTTTGTAGATCTTGTCTTATGCGACACACTGTTTCACCCTCTCTAAATTTGAAAATTAGAAATAATGAATGGATTACCCGGAGATAGAGGATTGATTGTGATATTCTTTGGTTCATAAACTACCAGCTGATTTATTAATTCATCAGTTTGTCAACACATACTTAGTAGCATTTTTTATAACAGCTACAGGACATTGGATTAGGTAATTTTCCATGATAATAAGTTTCTATGTGTTAATCAAAGTTATAAATAATCTATGTGTGCATTCAGCCACTTTTGCATCATTGAGCAATATAAATTCAAACGTACAAACTTTCACATTTATAGTAATAGCATAGATTGTTGCACTGTCTTTAAAAATATTGAACACATAAAACAATGATGGCCAAATAGCTTCATATATTTCTTTTGTTTTTCCTGTGAAAGTAAATAAACAATCCTAAACTTATCGGTGATTACTGTCATTCATGGATATCAGAGATGCCCATGTTGCTAGATCACTTTGTTTTTATACAAATTATTGCAAATTGCAGAATTTATGCTATAAAATACAAAAATAATAACAACAAAATCTGCAATAGATCATAATTAACGAACAACAAATGCAAAATAGCACTGGTATCAAATGTTATAAGTGTGTTTGTTGTTTCAAATTTTAGTTAAAGTGGTTACAGGAACTTTCAGCTGAAACTACAAGTCCACATAGACCATAAATTGTGAGTTAAGACTTTTTATATGAGATCAAAGTTTAAATTACATTAAAATTGCAATATTCTTTTTGTAATTCGAATCAGAACATATTATTGTTTTTAATGAATGTATTGTTCTTATAGTATTGTTATTATTGTCTTGAATGATCCTTTTGAATGATCCAAGCAGGCATAAATCTTCTCTGAGTCTGATTTTAAAAATTAGTTAATATGTCTACAAATTAATGAATTCATAATTTCTGTTTACTTTCTATTTTAATATATCTGAAAATTTATATTAATCTTGTTTAGTAAAATTATCTGTAACGTTCATTTCATAAGATGCATAGTGAATATACTATTGAAAACACACAAAGTACATGCTTTAGTGACAAATAACTCAAGAAAAATTAAACTTGTCAAACAAATAAAAGACTTGCATGTGAAGTTTTTGTTGAAATTGTCAACATTTTTAGACTACTTACCTTTAAAAGCTTTATTTGTTTTCTGTATATTGTATTCTTTAAACAAATTAACATTTATATGATGAATATTTTAAGAACCAGTAAAAAGGAACAGCAACCTTTGCATCATCACTGTAGCAACCTATTAATATAGATATTCAATATAAAAAAATTAACATTTAATAAGGACTTGATTGCTCAACATCATTATCTCATTTCTAGACAGATTAACTGAATCTTTCAGTTGTAGTTTTAGCCCTATTATACCATATTACACTGTCAATAGTGGGACCAAAGTTTATCCACTTTTGATACACAACACAACGATAAAACAAGTTGTATGTTTTAAGTTTAATTCAGTGAACAATTTTTATCCTTAGTTGTGAAAAAATTAATTAGCAACATTGTTTGGGTTTGCTGTATTGAATTCCATTATAGTTTACCAATAAATATAAACAGTACTAAACAGATTAATAAAATAATGAAGGCCCTTTTTAATTTTTTTGAATAATCCATTGATAATACTATGTTTTAGTACTTCATTACTGGAGATGTGCAACAGTTATTGAATTATTAAATTTAGTACACTTCATGTAAATGTTTGAAAAGCAAACTATGAATTAAGTAAAGTTTTTTTTAAATATCATATTTAGTTTTCAGGATTATATTCATTACACAAATTAGACACACTCACAAAACTTACATTTACGACGTATTAAATATTATATGGTTTCTGAAAATAATAAAATTCTTCAAAATGTATTTAAATGAACAAATTTATAATTAAAAAAAGCCATTAATAAATGGTATCCCTTGAATGACTTAATTTAAACTTGTAATTATCATTAACTATAGAAGCAATGAAAGCGACTACTTTCAATAAAGAGTTGTACATCTTTTTTTTTACGAAAATTATTTATAGGTACTTACAGAAACGAACAACAATACATGGACGTGACCTTTGTGAAATAAAGGTATAGGAACTATTTCGTTTCATGCAACGAAACAATATTTTCTCATTTTACAACATTAACACTTTAACTAACAAACATAAACATTAATTTTATTATAATGAACACGTTAGCAATTGTGCACTTTCGTTATACTGTAACTACACTTGTATTTATGCTTGAATAAACTAATACATTTCTTTCTCTGCATATGTATCTATACTGGTGCAATATTTCGTGTTATTTAATAGGGGAAGCTACTAGTTTTAAGTCGATCGATAGTTGTAGCGGAACTATGTCCCATGACAAAGGAACTGCAATTTAAAGAATTCCGCGTGGACTAATCTAACAGTTAAAGGATAAAAGAGACCGCAGGAAGTGTATACATGGTAGTCTAATGATCTGCCGTCTGTATTCACATATTTGTATTTTATGTGAAAGTTCTAATCAAATGTTTGTCAATACAAATTTAAAACTATTATTTTTGACGTCCATTAACCTCATCAAAACATTTTCAGCTGTCATTTTGAGTAGGGATTGGTAAGCGATTTTAAAATCAACAAAGATGCTATACTACCAAATTTAATTCGAATATGGAATATCGACTCACCTATTGTTGGCATATTTTTCAATTGTGAATGTAAATTGTGATTATATTATGATTATATGAACCTTGAATTGTTTGTTTTTAATTATCTTGGTATGGTGCACATTCTTATGGTCTACCTGGTGTTCAACGGTAACGGGATTTTATAAACCAAATAAATCAAATTTTACTGAAACAGCTGTTAGTATAATGCATTAATAACTATGATATCTATGTAATGAATTACGTAGTGTCAGTCCAAGCTTTTAATCAAAGCTGGAATCATTAATAATGTACATTGATAATTATAAAAAAAGATTAATAAATATTAAGCACAGTGTATATGAAGTGCTCGCGAATCCGAAAAGCGATAGTGTACTAAATTGAAGTTGAAAGCAGTATTATTTCGTAAATTTAAATATAATTCCCACATATCCTATTGCGCAAACCACATCGAACTCGACCTTAAGTGTATTATCTATAAACTCGACCACGTCCTTACGACTTAACTTAATCCTTTAATATCACAACTTTTAGACGCCTGCAGCTCTAGCTTGGGCAGCAAGTCCCTGGTCAGAGTTTGATATGAAATCTAACCCATAACGTCAGCCTGCTGAGTTTCTCGCCAGATCTTCTTAGTGCTTCGCGATTTTGTTTCGATAATAGATTTCGAAGCAATTGCCCTCAGTTGCAGTTTTTTTCTTTATCTGGGCTGAGCACGACTTTGCCCAGTTCTCTTGGTGAAACTGGAAAGGCTACCGCCTACATGGACTGCTTTGTCCCTAAAAAAACCTGGAATTCGATCAATTCAATGGGACTTCGGTATTTAAATTTCAGATGCCAATTGAGGCTACACGATTAATCAGTATAATTATTACAATCAACCTAATTTCAATTATTGCGCCTTTAAGTTTCGATTGCGAATTCATAGTTTCCTAATCATATCTCGGATTCAATTCTCAATACCTATTAATTGAATTTTGGTGCATCCCTACATACGTAACTTTGACAGCTGTCAACTCTGGTCCTATAGTACCTACTTTATCGGTAGATTGACATTATAAAAAATAAAAAAAAATAGTACCTACTAGGTATGCACCTAAGCATTGTTCAGATTTCGTTTGATAATAATCAAACCTGCTAAAATCATAATTGGCATAGTTACTGGCGATAGAGCGTCTAATGAACTCGCACGGTTATGTACCATCATTCGCTATATTTCTGTCGCAAAGTAGTCATGCATTACGGCTTAAAGGTTGAGATAGCAGTTAACTAATTATTAAGAGTATAATGATCTATGACCAATATAACTGAGATTTCTACCTCTTGTACGTACAGCATCTTAAACAAGAGAGGCCGGAATTCACGTTATATCTATGGCCATACTCGTATGGCAAGCACTTAAGGTGGGCCGTGAGCTCGTTCATTACTCTAAGAAATACAAGATGGAATGAAATTGAATTTGCCGAGATGATATTTTATGAGAGTATTTAATGAGACTTCAGTGGACTTTTTGGAAGAGCACAAGAAGACACGGCCAGCGACTTAGTTAAGTTTTTTGAGACTTGTGCACTTTCGTCGTTAATAATCCATCATTATGACACATTAATACCTGAAAAAGATTTAACTAACGAAATAAAACTATTTACACGACCTCGCTTCTTATATTCCCGCCAAAAAGCCAGACTCAGATTTTTGAAAAATTCAGTGTTGCTACTAGTAAAAAAATTTAGCTACTGATTTCTGGTTTTTATTTTAATATTTTTATTTAAAATTGTATCATCTTTTGGCAGTTATTGAACACAGTAGATTTCTACCAGACCTTTTCAGTATGAAAATGTACTGATTTTATCATAAATAAAAATTATATACTCGCTGCGATACGCGTTACTTGTGGCTTTAGCTCTAAGCGGACACATTCCGACACAGTACACAGTAGATATACACACAGTAACTGTTGGACTACTAAAATAAATAAAATGTTACTATTAATGTAACTATTTCAAATGTGTGATGCTATAATAATATACTAAGGGATATAATTGTTTAAAAAAAACATAACCTACGATTACAGCTTCATATGTACCCAAATCAAGGCCAAACTTCGCTGCAAGGTCAAATTAATCTAATCGAGCTCAAATTTCAATTGTAGAATTTAGAATTCCGACAGACCTTGCCGGACTGTCACACGGAGACGAAGTGATTTTGTTGTTTAAATCTGTAGGTACCCAGTTTCTAATGTATTCTTTAAACAAAAGTGGACAACGTGTATTTGCGTTGCAAATTCATAAGCGTTATCAGTAAGTGCTTGCATTATGTAGTAATAATAATGCATATTTTGGTTATTGTTTGTAAAGTTGTTGGGTAGGTATTTCAAAAATAAACCAACACCTTCCTAATTATTTTTTCCCCTACCTATTCGCTGGTAGCTTATGAGGCTATTCCAGCTAGGCCCGGACGGGTTCGTGAGCTCACGGGTTCAACCTAAGAGAATTTGCTAACACCAGTCCTAGCTAGTTGATGCTTCGCAGAATCTACCACCGGATCGGAATCGCGACTCACTGAGAAAATCGGGCGAGAAACTCAGTGGGCTAACACCTTCCTATATGTAACTTAATGAACGAAGAGGGAGGCCAAAATGTACTTAGCACGTTTCATTTTAATTATTAAATAAATATGCGATTCCGGGTTGTTGATATAAATGAATGGACTAGGGTTCATTCATTCTGGAAATCTACTTTATTATCTGCTTTTGATATTGATAGAATCACAAGATATGACTAGATAGCACGTTAGCAGACTACTCATAACATCATTTTAAGAGTTTGATAAATTTTTGTTTTGTTCAATAGTTTTCCAATCTTGCTAATGTTAACTATGTTTACAGCTACGCAAATGGAAAATTTTCGACTTTTAATAAGCCTAAGCCGTTTGAATCAATACCAGGCCTGGGGGCACTGCCATTGATAGGACCTCTGCATCACTTTCTTCCGATTATAGGTGATGGAAATTTTATTAGTCGGGTCTTTTTTTGACAGCATCTCGCCATCAGACAAGATACCTTCCAATTCAATCTGATATAATATGCTAGTGGAAAAAATAATAGGTTCATACATGGTAATTTTGATTGCATACATAGATTTACTGTCTTTAATGTCATTTACAGGTACGATTGGTCCAAAAACCAATATGTTTGATGTACTGGGTATTTTAGAAGGTAAATTTGGACCTTTAGTAAAAGTAGATGGCGTTTTCGCAAGGGGAACGATGTTATTTTTATTTGAACCAGATCATTTCGAACAGGTACCAAACATAAACGTAAATTTTTATTTTTTATTGCTTAAATGGGTGGACGAACTCATAGCCCACCTGGTGTTAAGCTGTTACTGGAGCCCATATACATCTACAACGCAAATGCCGCCACCCACCTTTGAGATATGAGTTTTAGACTTCCGCGCACTAGACAGGATACTACCTAAGAAATATTTTTTTTATTTTGAGTCCCCAAAAGCTCTAGGATTATCCATTCTTTCTCGGACACCCTGTATATATCTGATCTGAAATATTTTCTTCAGAGCACTCTGACTTTATTCTACAAATCTTAATTGTCAGATACACATTACTTTACATAGAACTTTCGAAATATTAATGACAAGACGCTTCTCACGCCAAATAATTAAATGTTACTTTTCCTCGGCTATAGAGCAATTTTTCGAAACTATATCATTTTACAGATGCCACGACTTAGATAATTCAAGTTACACTTAAGCATTTTCTCGTTATGCAGAACTGGGTTTTGTGCAGATTGATAAATAATTTTCGGTATGTTGCTTATTTTGCGCACAGGTGTACAGAGCTGAAGAAGCAAATCCACTGCGTCCAGGATTTCAAGTCTTAGACTACTACAGGACGCAATTACGCAAATCGAGATACGGGGGACTTCACGGTCTAATAAACGCGTAGGTACAGAAATTTGGATTTTTTTTATAATTTAGATGGGTGGATCAGCTCGCGGCCCTGATGTCACGTGGTTACCGGAGCCCGTAGGCATAAACCACATCAATGCCCCACCAATGAGTTCTAAGTCTCAGTTTTTACAGTACAACGGCTGCCCGACACTTCAAACCGAAAAACATTACTGCTTCAAAGCAAAAATAGACAAGGTGGAACTTACTAGTGTGCGGGTTTACATAACACTTTACCACCAGTAATTATAAATTATAAATTATAAATTTTCTCGGTTTGTTTTATATTACACGATTTTTTATTCCTGCCTATGTTGATAGCCTTGAGAGGCTATTTCAGCTTCACCCTAACATGTAGGTGAGCTCACGAGGCTCAAACCGGAAGTGTTGCTAATATTGGCCCTAGCAAGAGCAGTGCTTCGAGGAGTCTACCACCGGATCGGAAACGCGACCCACTGAGAAGATCCAGCGAGAAACTCACTGGGCTGTGTCTATGGGTTAATTAGCTCGTCGAGCCCTTCGTCGCAAGCGACGGGTTCGACGAATACGGTAACCGGTGCTTGTGGTACCTAATAGCACCGTCAATGGATCGGGAGGATCCATAATGACGTGTTAACACGATATGATTCCTTCATGGTAGTCGTTTGTGAAATTTGTTCAGTAGGTATTTCAATAGAAACATTTAAATCAGCGGTCTTTTAATACAAGCACAGTCGGATTGTTCAATACGAATATACCAAGGCCGACGAGAAGGACGACTTCAAATCTGATGGAGTTTTGATGAATTTTGGAAAGTGACATTTACCAAATTTTCAACTGTTTATGAATTTAAATTTCCCTTTCACACACAATTTTACAGACAAGGTCCTGAGTGGCGGGAATTTCGGACTAAAGTAAATCCAGCATTATTGTTGCCTAAATTAGTGAAGCTTTACGCACCCGGTATCGATGAAATAGCACAAGATTTTGTCCACAGGTATATTTTCTCGTTTGTCATGAAATATTACAACTGTGTTTGTTATTTTTTGTGCTCTTCAATAATCCCGTTGCGTTAAAATTTTAGGTTATCGCAAATAACTCACGACGATGCTTACATAAAAGATAATTTTGAGTTAGAATTGACAAAATTTTCTCTTGAGGCCACCGCCCTAGTTGCTTTAGGATCCAGACTAGGATGTCTCAAGGACAGCTTGGACAGCGACCATCCGGCGCACCGTTTAATGAAAAGTACGAGGGATATTTTTGAACTCACTTACAAATTGGAAATAAGACCTAGTCCCTGGCGTTACATCGCAACGCCAGCCTATAAAATGGTCATCGAAGCGTATGATACGCAATGGGAGTAAGTAAAGTTTAGTAAATACTATGTAATAACACTTGATGGGGTTTGCTTATGAAGTTTGAATAATCAGCAAAGTAATCCAATATATCTAGTAGTTCTGCGACCGATTTAAACCTAGACTTTATTTGGCAAGACAAGTTGAAAATGGGTACAGTTTAGAAAAAAAATATGGATGGTGCTGCTGACGGATAATATGAAAGTCCTTTAGTTTGGAATTTTTTTACAGCTTACAAATTGCACTCGTAGAATAGAATATCGGATCCATTTAATTAGTATTTTTTTTATTTTTTATAATGAAACATTTATGGTATTTGATAAGTTTCGTTAATAATGAATTATGAAAATATTTCGCGAAAAATATCGACATAATATTTTAGAATAAGTATGATGTACATTAACCACGCTCGGAAGCAATTGGAGGAAAGAGGCTACGACATACCTGAAGAGGAGAAAAGTGTGCTCGAAAAACTAATAGCCATTGATGAGAAAGTCGCCGTCATGATGGCTAGTGAGATGTTGCTTGCTGGAATCGATACGGTATGTGGACAATTTTAACGTAATCGTATCATTTTCCTCTTGTAGATGACCATTTTATAGTTTTCAATTACATGATCATCCTTCTAGAGCTTTTGGCCAAACATTTATTGGTTCTACCTGCTTTTACCCAGGTATACATACAACCCATTCTAATGCGAACCAGTTTCATTGATCCGCGAGATACGCAGTAAAATATCTGATATCCCCCCAGAGGATACCGTATACCGTACGCTCAGCAGGGGGCTTTTGCAGTTACTGTGACTTAGGCATATAACATCATCTCTGTAACTTCGATACTTGCCTGAATTTGATAGCATTTTCTAATGTTGACTGGACGGAAAGGTGACAATTCAGATTTGATCAATCTCTAATGCGTAAATATTCAGAAGTGACGTCATTTCACTCTTATTTATCTATCTATCAGTCTACATTATTATTCCAAATTTCAGTTAATTACAGGTCAGTTTTGTAACGACAAGTTTACTATTCAATTTAGCGATGAATCAAAAGGTGCAGGATAAATTACGTGAAGAAATACGTACATCAGAGTCGAACTATAAAAGATACTTCCGAGCGTGTCTGAAAGAGGCTTTGCGGCTACGTCATGTAGTTCCTGCGAATTTGAGAAGAACACATAGAGACCACATCGTTGGCGGCTATTACATACCTAAAGGGGTAAGAAATGAAATAAAATTATAATACCGATAAGGAATTAAAAAAAACCGACGTCTCCACAAAATTTAACCGAAATGATCTTCTTCTTTTTCTCCACCTTATCCCACTAGGTGGGGTCGACACAGCGAATTCTTCTATTTAATTCTCTTATATCAGCCGTCATCTCAACATCCACTCCTCTCTCTCTCTCTCATATGTTATCCATGTCTTCTTCGGTCAACCTCTTCCCCTTCTACTACAATGATCTGCAATGATCTGGGCCAATTTTGTTTTAACAATCAATTTAAGGTGACCTTCCTTTTATAGAATAAGCCAGGTTATTAAAATTAATAAATTATTAGATTTAATTATTTCTCATGAATAATAATATTTTTCTCATTATTATAATGTGAGAAAGTTATAAGTACTTGTTAAATAGTGTCTAATGTGTGGACGATACTCGGCATTATTTATTCAAAGTTTAAGTTGAGGAAGTTTCCTTGAAGATTATGTACCTTAAGATATGTTTGTAATAATTAGTTTTTTTTTAATTGTGCACAAAGGCAAAGCTATCTATGTTCAATACATGACCAAAAACTCTTTTATGTCTATTTGCATACTCAGTTTCTGCAATCACCAGATTCACTATTTATAAAGATATCATCATTAGTTCTTAATTTATTTTAACTTAATAACGCTCAGATTCATGTTGCTTTTGACATTAATGAATTTGACATAGCATAATAATAAGTAAAAAATATTGAATAAAATTTCGCATGAGTCACCATATCGTTATTTCTGGCTACAGATAGACGTCATAGCTCCAAACGAATATTTATCAAGGTCTGAAAAGTTTTATCCGCGGCCCGAATAATTCATACCGGAAAGATGGTTAGTGGAAAAATCAGATCCACTGTATTACGGTAATGCGCATCCTCTTGTTACTCTACCATTCGGTTTTGGCGTTCGAAGCTGTATTGGGCGTCGGATAGCAGAATTAGAAATAGAATTACTTATAAAAAGATTAATAGAGGAATTTAAGGTCACTTGGAACGGTCCTCCTATCAAAATTGTCAATAAATTGACAAATACTTTTGTTAAACCGTACAATTTCACGTTTATAAGTGTTAAATAACAAAAAAGGAATTCAATATTATTTCAGAGAGTTGCTTCTAGAAGTAAATACGTATTGTAAAATTACTTACTGAATGGTATGCAGTTATATTTACATGTTACACTTTTTTTTAAACTAATAAATTATTATTTTTAGAAAATAGTTTTATTTTAAACCGGCTTTCTATATTTTGCTTGTATCCAAACTCTGTACATTGTCAACATCTTTCCTCTATTTACTTGTAGCCTTCTATCAACGAGGTTCTGCTCCTCTATGAATCCTTCACCCGTGAAGAGTTTATTTATTTCTTCTTGTGTAAAAAAATATACTCTGGTTTTGTCACCTCGTGCATAAAAGTTGTTGGATATACACCTTCCTTTTTTGAACCTTAGTTGTGCTAGGTCATAGAGGCCATAATCTCGGAACACAACTAATCCACCCGGTTTCAGATATTTGAATGTATTCTTGATTACTTGAGGCATCCTGAAACATAATTATGTTTGTTAACTCAACATTAGTAACACAACGTCGGATATCCATGATTTCCACTTTTCGAATTATGCAATCATTTCTATTAAAATTTTCTTTAAACAGCTGATGTTCATTTTATAGGTAGTAAGTAGTCAACCCTAAAGTAAAGAAAAAAATATTCGAATCTATACAGAAGTTACGAATAGGAGATCTTACTTTATGCTTCCGATGTCGAGATGTTTGTAAGTATTATTCAAGGACACCTTGTTCTTATTGATAGTAATAATACTACAATTCATCTAATATTGGGTGTGTTGCATTAATCATCATACATTGGTAAACTCTTTACACATTTTTTTTTTATTGCTTAGATGAGTGGATTAGCTCACAGCCCACCTGGTGTTAAGTGGCTACTGGAGCCCATAGACATCTACGACGTATATGCGCCACCCACCTTGAGATATAGGTTCTAAGGTCTCAGTATAGTTACAACGGCAGCCCCACCCTTCAAACCGAAACGCATTACTGCTTCACGGCAGAAAATAGGCAGGGTGGTGGTACCCACCCGTGCGGCCTCACAAGAGGTCGTACTACCAGTAATTACGCAAGTAAATTTTACGGGTTTGATTTTTATTACACGATGTTATTCCTTCACCGTGGAAGTCAATCATGAACAGTTGTTGAGTGGTTAACACTTAACACCAGGTGGGCTGTGAGCTCGTCCACACATCTAAGCAAAAAAAAAAAAAAAGAGTACGTATTTCATTAGAAAAAGTGGTACCCGCCTGAGATTCGAACAGCGGTGCATCGCTCAACACGAATGCACCGGATGTCTTATCCTTTTGGCCACGACGACTACACATAAAATCATAGATTGCATCAATTCTTTCTCTGTTATAAGTTTGAAACATTTCTAATTCTGTCTTATTGTCACAACAACAGGAAGAGCTATCTATGAAAATTATAATCAATGATTTTCGTAAAACTGTATTAAATGGTTAAGTGTTGTGATGAGTAGGAACCAATATTAGATGACTGTAAAAAGTGCAGGGAATAATGCCTAACATAGCCTCTTTCACTTTTGAAACTTTAATGGCGATTAACTGATATAGTCTTCTTAGAGCGCTTACAAACCCAACATTAGTTTTTACCTTTTCTCAAGAATGGATATGGTAACAAGATGATACCGTTTTTTAATAGATATACTCAATTATTGCATTCCTTACCTATGTGGAAGGAAAGAGACCAATGGGTTGTAGTCTAATGGACTGGTCTGATCAAATTAAAATGACATCGGACTCCAGTATCAGTGTTGCTATCCACTAGGAAGAAGATAGGAACGAATGGAGGAGCACGGCCCGAAAAAAAGTGCTCCGTAAAGGTCACAACCTTCAGTATTGAGGAACACAATGCAAGGAGGATCTATGTTGGAGTTTAAAACTATAGAGAATAACTTGAAAGTGACTTACTTTTGGGGGTCAATAGCAGACAATACAAATATCAACACCACAATATCTATTGAATTCTCCTTGAAAGGTACATTCCAGTCAGCCTCTGTTGCATCCAATACAAATACTTTACATCTATCTGTATTGTAAAGCTCATTTTGTTTCATTATTTCAATAGCTTTAGATGAGAAATCACAGCCATATACAAATAATTTTGGATCTTGACTGTATTGCAGTATTGGGAAAATTGTGTTTCCAACACCACAACCTATTTCAAATATGTTACGAATTGTATCATTAGTAGAACTGAAAGTTGTGTTTTGTTTGTTTCCATGGTTTGCAGTTTCTGAAAACACTCGTACTGGTGCAGATGTATTGTCAGGTGCTAACTCAGGAAATTCAGTGAAAAGCCAATGCCGGTCTTTGAAGAATCTGTAAAATGTTTTAATTTTTGGGTTTATTACTTCACTGGTTATTAAAAAATTTACTATTTTTATGCTTCGATTGGTGGATGAGCTCACAGCCTACCTGGTGATAAATGGTTACCGGAGCCCATGGACATCTAAAACGTAAATGCCTCCACCCACCTTGAGATATGAGTTCTAAGTTCTCAGTATAGTTACAACAACTGCCGCACACTTCAAGCCAAATCGCATTACTGCTTCACAGCAGAATTAGGCAGGTCCTACCACCAGTAATTATGCAAATTATAATTTTTGTAGGTTTCATTTTTATTACACGTTGTTATTCCTTTAATGGTGTGGTGGAAGTCAATCATGAACACTTGTTAAGTACGTTTTTAATTAGAAAAATTGGTACCACTCAACACTGATGCACCGGCCGTCGCTGTCTACGCAATAAAAAAAAATTCAGAGGAAACAAAAGGAACAAACATCAGAGATAAATTTGTTACAATTTGCTGTAAAAGTTATGAATTTTGTTTATACATAATGTTATTTATTCACTATGAACAAATGTAAGAATTTTAAAAAGATAAATATTAGCCACTGAATTATTGTTTTCCCTACCTTATCAAGCTATGTCAGCTACACATGGTTTGGAAGATTAGCTAACTGTACTCTACCTGCGAGGACTTAGTAGTCCTGGCAACAGCAGTGCTTTACTGACTCTACTAATGGATCTCAATTGAGACCCACTTTAGAGAACTGGTGAGAAACTCACTGGTATCTATGGGCTAAGTGGCTCTTCATCGCATTCTACGAGTAATCAGTGACTAGTGTTTAAATTGCCCAAATGATGGGGGTTCGGAAGGATCAGATAGGGCATTTTTTGGGTGACGGGGGGATGTAAAGGGATGTAAAAGCTAAGTCGGAGATATGTTGCAAGGCAGCCATAGTAAAATTATTATTGTATTGCACTACTTTCTCAAAGAAGTCATTTAATAATAAACATCACAAAAAATCGGTTTAAAAATTCTTTTGTTTTTAGTACTTCTTACCTGTTTTGGTGTATATCATAGAATGCATCCCAGTGTTTATCAGCATCTTCTTCTAAGGACTTTAAAAGTTCATCTGTGAATGTTACTTGTGAATTATTTCTAACCTTCTCTTGTGCTTTTTTCTCTTGGTCTTCATCCCATTCCACATTATCCCTGAAATTCAAGAAATGTCATAGGTTTTAGTCTATTTACAGTTATTTTCCTGTTAATGAGATATTTGGGATACAAGACCTTCACCTAATTAATGAATAGAATGATGACGAATAGACATTTTAATTTTAAACATAGAACTGGTGGATATCTGACCTTATACATCTAATGTTTTTCTTAATTATCTTATAAGTGTAGATAGACATATAGGATGCTACTACTAACCCAAGAAACTCGAAATCTTTTATAAATATAAAAATGATAGTGTTCACGGTTCAAACTTAATTGATCATCAAGAAAATTAAGTTATAATTACTTTAAAAACTTATAAATTGCATTACCAAGCATTAAATAAAAGAATGTGCTTCTTATCATTCAAATATCTAGCACCGCCCGTGGGCTTTTTTCTATGTCTTGTTTTCTCCAAAGCCTTGATCTCACAATCGCAAGATAAGTAAAGTGTTGATGTAATAAATCGTTTATAAATAAATACGGTACCACGAATTGTGTTTAAACACTTCTTCAGCATTTTCCAGATATCTATTCCCAAATTGAGGTCTTTTATCAGAATTATCATCCATTGATTTTTTTTAATTTTAAATGCTTTAGGTTTAATACTGTAGCGGATTTATGGAATTAAAATATTAGTATCGTACGTACTCGACTAATTCTTAATAACAAAATATTAGGATAACCTCATAGATTATACACTTAATGATAACCTCAAAAGATCTTTTTTCAATATGTCAAACAGCTTTTTCTGTCATTGTTGCTCAGTTTTTTTACCTTTTTTATATTTCAATATAGACTAAAGATACAAAATAAAGCTATTCACAGAACTTCGTCCACCCTTCGTCAAATCTTCATCTGCTATTTCCTGTAAATTGAATGTATAGATGTTATATATTAATGTATAATAAAATTTTAATGAATGAATTACATTATTAAGCAATAATGTAACAAAAATGAAACTGGTTAAAATTATAATTTGGGAAATTACTCCTGGTAAGTGCATCCTGTGATTTTACACGGGTAGTTCTATAGCGCTTTTTTGCCCTATTTATGCGCTGGTAGCCTAAGAGGCTAATCCACCTACGCTCGGATGGGTAGATGAGCTCATGGGCTCAACCTGAGAGAATTTGCTAACACTAGCACTAGCAAGAGCAGTGCTTCGCAAAATCTACCACCGGGTCGGGATGGCGACCGGTCCAGTAAGAAACTCAGTCCGGTGTCTATGGGTTAGTTCGCTCGTCGAAATCTTCTGCTTGAGAAGCCAAAAAGCACAGAGCGAATCCTTGGGATCTCACAGGATATATTTCGGGTAACGGCGGCTTTGCGTTGCCCCATCGCGGTCAGAGACAGTTACGACAGCACTATTGTTGCGTTCTGGTTTGAAGGATGGGTCCTTTAATATTTTACAATTGAGACTTAGACCTCACGTCTTAGGGTTGGTGGCGACATTCACATTGTAAAAGAAATACATACATATGGGTTTGGCTCACTATAATACCATGTAGGCAATGAACTTGTTAATGCAATAAATATTCATAAATATTAGGTCCTTACATATGAAATTGGCGTTTTGTACGGGAGAAATATAAAGTAATTTTTTTTTGTAAAATATAATATATTTAATTAATCAAAGTATAAATCGTTGATAGCTATGCACTTTTGTCATCTCATAGGTAGTTCATTGATACCTTTACAAAAAAACCATGGAAGCAAAAATCAATAAACTGTTTGAAGGCGGTTTGAACTGCCGCATCGGAGTTGAATTTTTTTCCTTGTAAGCTTTCCAAAATCCGGAAAAAATGGTAATCTCTTGGAACAAGATCCGGGGAGTACAGTGGATGTCGCAGACATTGCAATTGTAGCTCACCTAACTTAGTGGTTGTTTGTTGTGAAGTGTGTGGTCTTGCGTTGTCATGAAGCAGTAGTGACTTAGAGCGATAGACCAAACTCGGTTGCTTAGCAGCTAGTTCTTTCTTCATGGTTTGTAGTTGCTGACAATAGATATCTGCCGTACTCGTTTGGCAAGATTTTAGAAAGCTGTAGTGAACGACACCAGCACTAGTCCACAAACACTCACAAGTAACTTTTTCTGAGTTAATTTTCGTTTAAGGCCGGATTTGGCTGGGTCTCCAGGGTCCAGCCATTGCGACGAGCGCTTCCGATTATCGTACAGTATCCACTTTTCATCACAAGTAATGATTCGATTTAAAATTCCTTCATTATTGTGTCGGCTGAGCAAAGTAACACAGCAGTCGACGCGTGTTTGCAAGTTAGATTCAAGTTTTTTACTTTCCCGATTTGTTTCAAGTGGATTAATACAGTTTTATCACTTAACCCGAAGCCTGCAGCTATCTCTGAAGTGCTTTAAGATGGATCCACTCCCACAATAGCCTTTAATTGCTTAGAGCTGTTTCTGCAGCACTGGTGTCACTGTAGATTGCGTACTGGTAAATAAGTATCCCGTTATTTCACGTTTTCCACTGTGCGGTAATAAGCGATGCCAAAGCAAAAAAATAATGAATGACTGTTTTTTTGAAAACTCAAATGTATCAGCTAAATTAATTTATAAATTTGAATTTGGAATTCTTATTCAAAGAGGAGATATTTCAAATCAAAGTGGTCAGTACGACAAAACGCTAACTTCGTAAGGACCTAATATATCTATAATGTAAGTGTATTAGCTAAATATTGAGCAGAAGTATCAGGTGTATTTATCTAAATCAATAGGTTTACCTATATTTGTTCAAATGCCTACTAAATTACTACAAGTTCACAAACTGTTGTCGACGTTACCTACTTTTCTTTTTAATGTCATTTGACTGGCCAAAGCCATGTAATACTTTATGCCATTTATAGGCTTTCTTTACCTTTTAAGGACTGTCTGTGACATGTATCACAAAATCTCAAAGAACTATGGTCATGAACATTGCTTCAATCATAGATAAAATACACTTAATATTTAAAACTTCAATAGGACTCATCAACCAGAATTCTAAGAGGCGGTTGTTCGGAATTACATGTACCACGCAATCCATGCATGTCCATGAAGAATGTATTGGATAACTGACACCAAAGCTATCACAATGATACTAGTCATATACATAAGCCGCAAAAGCTCAGAATCTGCACAAATTCACCGAATTAAATGTACGGGCTTTCCGCTCGTAGCTTCGTCCGCGTGGTTTACATTGAATAATGCGTGCACGGAGATCCATGTTCAGCAAAGGAATGAAAGGAAGTCTGCCCACTGAGTTTCTCGCCGGATCTTCTCAGTGGGTCCCGATTCCGATCCGGTGGTAGATTCTGCGAATATCTTGCTAGGGCCAGTGTTAGCAACACCTCCGGTTTGTGCCCCGACAGCTCACCTACACAGGGTAACGCTGATATAGCCTCTGAAGGCTATCAGCATAGGTAGGAGAAAAAAAGGTAGTCTAAATTTTTTACCACGGTCCAAAATTTAACCAAAAGAAATATCGTCAAATTCGGTTCAGTGGCTACGACATGAAAACGTAACAGACAAAAATAGTTCCTTTCGAATTAAAACTTCATAATTACTTAGTAATTTCTAACCTTAAACGATATAAAAGAAAATTTCCAAACTTTAAATGTCAAAAACGTTTCCATGCAACATTCGATTGTAATGAAATAAATATGTATATTTTGTTTCAAATTAATTCTTTCATACCTATAAATTCTACAAGATTACGTTTAGTAGGTACCTACTTCTGGAGAAGCGCGCGAAGAAACAGATGGATAATAATTTAAAAAAATACTCTTCCCTTTTTTATTACCTACTTTCTTTACAAACTTACTTACTTAACAAACACAAACGATTATATTATTGAAGACAGCAATTGAGCAATACGGCTTCCCTTTTCGTTTTTAAATCACGTGAATTGTGCAACGTTGAACTAACCGAAATTTAAAGAGATAAATTCTGACATCGAAGACTTCCAATTTTCAGTCGAATCCGATGTTATTGCTCCATAAAAGACGTTTTGATGCTGTTCTCTGATCAAAGTAAACATCATAAAAACGATTCTACGGGTCATTAAAGACTTCCCACAAACGTAATAGCTGCACGTTCAAAATTTATATCGTATCTAAATAAAGAAACGTAGCAAGAAATATTTTATGTTAATGTACAAAAATGTGGTTGCTACAGCAACATAATAATGCAATGAAAAGTATATCTTGGTTCTAGCCAATGTCTGCATTATTTTCTACAAGACATATTCTACACAACATAGTTGTAATTTTTTTTGTTAAAATTAAATTTTTTTTTTATTGCTTTGGTGAGTGGACGAGCTCGCAGCCCTCCTGATGTTAAGTGGTTACTGGAGCCCGTAGACATCCACAACGTAAATGCGCCACCCACCTTGAGATATAAGTTCTAAGGTCTCAAGTAAGTTACAACGGCTGCCCCACCCTTCAAACCGAAACGCATTACTGCTTCACGGCAGAAATAGGCAGGGTGGTGGTACCCACCCGCGCGGACCCACAAGAGGTCCTACCACCAGTAAAATATTAAATTAATTACGGGAATTTTTTATGAAGAAGTAAAAATGTTCTGATTTTGTTATTATCGTGTAGTTATTATCAAGCGGACGTGAAACTGAAAACTTACCAAACTACAACATAAATATCAATGCCAGAGGCACAGTAGGCCATTGCTTACCATTGAAGAGTCATATCAAACGTCATTTAAAGAAAAGCATGACATAGCTGTTATGGAACACCGCCTAAGCCTCCAATTCTGAATGCCGTTCGTAGAATGAGCTCTGCAGTTTGTAGAGTGGTAGTCGTTAGTGTGATCCTCTCTCAGTACTATTTGACAATCCAAGCACCGTTCACTATTCTTGACGAACTCTACGAATGCGACCAAGAATTCGAAGTGCAACTTAACTTCTCAGCGGGTCGTGATGGCCATCGGGTGGTTGATTCAGCAAATCCCTGCTTTCTTAGAGTGAGTTCTTAAGGCTACTGGCAGTTAGGTAGGTAAAAAAGTACAATGGACTGAGAGACTATTCTGAGCAGATTAATATAAACCTAAACGATTAGAATTTCCAGCAATGTGAATAGGCATCTCCTGTAAAAAATGGCAGCCATGCTCGAAAATATGACGGAAGCTTTAATAGAAATTAATAATGATAAAAACATAATTATATTAATACGTTCAGGGTTACATCAGGAAAGTACACATAACACAACGACATGTACTTTTTGTTTGTATGTTTTTTTAATTTGATTTTGTTCGAATCTTCTACTTCGTATTTCTGTCTAAGTCTAAACATTTGATAATACATCAATTCGTATCTCGTATTAATTAATATCTTATATGTATTATTAAACTTATGACGCTTAGGAATTTGCACACCAATATACAGTTTTATTAAACTTTTTCTGAGTTCTTTAGTTCGAGCCGTCAGGAAACGTACATAGGAACTGGCAGGTATCGCGAATTCACGAGACCGTTTCTGAAATTCAATGCGCAACTTCAACTAGAGGAACAAGTAACAAACATTTACATTATAGACACACTCGTTCCACTCAGAGACGTGTACATACTTTGGTTCTACGTTCGAGTGATAATTTAAAACATTCTCAATGTGCTCAATATTAACATGCAATACAACCTGATACAAACATTCTTACACAATCGTTGGCGCTGAATCGTAATT